GTTGTAGCTGTGTAGGTTTGTTTTGTTACACTTGCCAATTTTGTCATGGTGGTCCTGCACTACACCTGTTTTTCTTTTCCCCCTTGGCCCGGGCTGCCTGGGGTGGGCTTTGCCCCCCTCCCCCTCTCCTCCAACCCTCTCCTTTCCAACCCCTGCAGCTCCGAGCCCTCAGGTGAGGGGAAGGGAGGATAAAATGTGGAGCATGGTACGGACTGGCTCCGCTCCGGGCGTCGCGGCACCCTCGGCAGTACAGCACCGACTGGGGCCGAACTAAGAATGTACTAATCAAGAGAGCACAAGCACATCATGTCGAAGGCGCCTAAGCTTCCCTTTGATTTCTTTTTAGACGGTCCACAAGACTCCCCAAGACTTTGCTCTCTACCGGAGAACAAAGTGCCCCCACCCCTTCCCCTCCCTCCTCACTCTATCCTAGCACAGGGACACAAAGGGCGCTCGGTTTATTCAAGATCCATATAGAACACGATCCAAACACAGTTTCGCGCTGTTTGTTTGTGGTTCTACACGTTTCTCACTAGGCAACAAATCAGCTCCCCGTGTTTCACACTCCCCACACAACATGGAAAAGTAAATGTGCTTGAAGGTGTACCCACAATGAACATCTCACGAGGGAACGTTTCTGATCACGTCTGCTGCTCGCTGCTGGGTAGGCTAGCCCGCCAAGCAGCTGTGTGAAGTCGACGGCCTGCCCAGAGCTGCCCAGAGCGCCCAGGAGTGCGGTGGCGTCGGGCAGGAGAGCGTCTGTACCTCGCTTCCCCTTTGGGAAAAGCTTATTGTAGGAACACCTTAATGGAATCCACGTAAACCCACACCCACACATCGAGTCTAGAGGCTCAAGCTTGAGGTCTCAAGATCGAGGACTCTCGCAATTAACGCGGCAAGGCCGTCCCTCACTAGTCTGCTGTTATTTTCTTCGTTTCGCTGCCAACATGCACTATAAAAAAAACCGTTTTACCAGTTTACAGAACTGGTCAAACGACCAGTTTAAAGAACAAGTCAAAAGACCAGTTTACAGAACAGGTCAAATGCTTTTTTTTCGTCGAAGACATCACAAATTGTCAATCACTACTCTAATGTGTGTGTGCTGGAGGTTGGCCACACCACCTTACCGCAATTGGGCTGTTGAATTTCGCGCTGCGCCCTGAGAAGCTGTCAGAAGATGCTGGGACAAAAACCGTCGGTTGACTTGACTGGTGTATAGGTCAAACGCTTGTTTTTCATGTAAGACTTTATTATAAGAAATAACAAATAGTCAATCAAGCTGTGAAAATCTAAAGGAAAATGGCAGAGGCGGAAGTTGTACCTGAGGCTGAGGAAAATTTGGTGGGGACCCAGCGTGCTGCTGCAGAAATGGTGGACGAAGAAGACACCGATGAATTTTTTACGCCCATATCACCTGTTTCTTACTGGGGTCGTCTTTATCCTGCCGATTTCGTCAACGTAAAATTTCATGGTATGTTTCTAACTTAACGTTATGTTACAGTCACAACTTGTTTGTTTTCCATTTGTGTGCCGTACCAAAATGATCAACCATTTTTGACTGTTTGCTATTCAACCTGCTCACTGTCTTTCTCTTTTAGACCTTGTCGAGAATGAGGTGACTGTAGGCAAACTGTCCAAATGTGATATCACTATCAGATCCAATGAAGTTCCTAGTAAAGTCCTTTCTGTTGTTAGTCGGCAGCACTTTACAATCCGCAGAACTCAGGGAGTTGACAGATTTGGTGCTATTACCTGTAAAATAGTTTTAGAAGATCTGAGCATGAATGGAACTTATGTAAATGGTGAAAGGATCGGAAAAGGAAAGATGAAACATCTTCCTGATAACTGTGTTATTGCCGTCGGCTGCCCTCAAAATAGGAGTATGTTAATACAATCTTAAAAATGCATTTGGTTTACTTTCAGTTGTTGACTTTTTTATTTTGTTTTTCTAGTTTTCTATTTTAAAGATGCATCTGATGGATTAGTTGATGACAAGCTGCCTCCAGCAATTAATAAAAATTATCATACAAGTGTGCAACTAGGATCAGGAGCATATGGAGTAGTTACCCTAGTATTTTCTAAGGTATATTTGTATTTAATTGGCGGATTACTGCTCAATGTCTCATTTACTTGGTCCTATGGCTAGTTCTGTTTTTTCTTTATGTATATTGCAGGAAAGTGGAAGAGGATATGCCATGAAGACAATAATTAAAAATAGTAATCCTGGTAATAAAAATAGAAAAGCAAAGAGTGAAGTAGCAACTTTAAATAATGAAATCAAAATTCTTAGAAAAGTAAACCATGTGAGTCCTTTTATTATAATTTTAAACTGGTTTCTAACAGTACATGTTGCCATTACTTAACATCTATTTTTTTATGTCTAATTTTTCAGCCTAATGTAATAAGACTAGTTCATGACGAGGACTGGCAAAATCAAAAATATTTATTTATTGAATTGATGAGAGGTAATGACTTATTTGCTCGCATAAGTGACAGCAAAAGATTAACTGAGAGGCAGTCAAAATTATATTTTTATCAAATTGCGTCCGGTGTCAGATACCTTCATTCAATTGGAATTGTACACAGAGATCTCAAGGTATGTATTTACGCGACCTGGCCGTGAATCTTATTTCATTTTATAGACTTTAACTTTAGAATTTGTATTTCTCAATTTGACTTTCAGCCTGAAAATGTATTGCTTGCTACAGAGGATGAGGACACTATTGTGAAAATTTCAGACTTTGGTCTCTCTAAGGTTGTAAATTCAATGACATTCACCAAGAGCCTTTGTGGAACAAAATTGTACGTTGCTCCTGAAGTTCTGGAGTCCCGGGGATCCAAGAAATATACTGCTCAAGTTGATGTTTGGTCAATGGGAGTAATTTTGTTTGTATGGTAAGAAAAATATCTAAATCAATTTCTGTTCCTTTTCTTTTATACTGTGTACTTTTTATGGAGTAATGGAATTTATCCATCTCTTTCAAGCTTGTCAGGGCAAACTCCTTTCTGTAGTGAGAGGAAAGGTTTGTGCATGGAAGAACAAATTAAAAAAGGCATGTATACTATGAATGTGGACCACTGGGAGTGTGTTTCTTTGCAAGCCAAAAAACTTGTGCGGCAAATGTTGACTACCAATCCAGTTAAACGCATAAACATTTCTGCCCTCTTTGAAGATCCATGGCTTAAGGTATGAAAGACTAGGTTTAGTTTCAATAACAAAAACCACGTGTCTTTATGCTTCCCCTGTGGGTTTTTTTTCCACCTGTTTCTTAGTGACTTGCAAAAGTGAAAATATTTATGATCTTTTTTCCCCTAATCATCAACAGGATCAAGAAATGTTATCAAAGGTTCAACAGCTCATTTCCGATTACACTCTGCGAAGCCTTGGTAAGGAGAATGAGCCAGTTTTACCTGTTGAGGAAGACGTGTCCCTAAGCCCTAAGCCAGCAAAAATCACATTGCGATCGGCAACCTCTGATTCATCTCCACCAAGGAAGCGAAGGAGACTCATTTAGTCTGTCCCTGTGAACTCTTTTACTTTGCAATTTTTATCACAAATGCAACCTTAATTTGACTTGGCTTGGCAAAGAAGAATTTCTGTTCCTTTAATTTTCTTGCCCATATCTTAATTTTCTTTTGTTTTCTCAAAATATTAAGTTCTATTATTTTGAATCTATTATGACAGGTTTTCTTTCTTGTACTGATATTTCAGTTTATTTCTATGTTTTATTTCACCTGCAAAGTAAGGGCTTCCTCTTTCTAATTTGTATGTGATGTTAGTTGTAATGATCAATGAAACTAGTCAAACAGTTGACTGAAAAAATAAAGCTTGTCGAGATTGTTTTGAATTTGTGTTGATATGTCTTTTACCAGAGAGTTGTTGAGCGCTTGGGAGGGAAAACAATCTGTTTTTAAGTTCACAAATCAACAATGTGATGCGTTACAATGTAAATTAGAACTATTTTATATATTGACAAGAGAAACAATTTCAATAATTAATAGTACATATGCAGTCAGGGAAAACAGGAGTAAACAAATACCACTTCACAAAGATGTACCAGTCTGTTTCTTGGGCTTGGGAAGAGGGACTAAGTTAGGAACAAAATGCATTTTTCAATGCTTACAAGCTTAATTTTACTATCACAGTTAGAAGCTTAAAGTTAAGGTATTACAGGTTGAGCAGTCTAAATTAAATGAGTTAGTTTTCAACCATCTTACTTTTTCCTTCAGGAAAGGGTGTGTGAGCACTAGTTGTAATTTTTAATATTATAACATGAGGCGTCCAACTTCTTCGGCATTCATATCACCTTCATCAGTGTGATGTCTTGAAGGCAATGGTACCGTTGTCGAGTCTGGGTTAAGAAATCTGTAAAGTATGCGACGCTATGAGCTTGGTTCAAGAGTTTCAGTTCGGTTGGGGTGAGGGATGAACTTACGCGTGAGAGGCTGCCTGGCGCGTGTTGAGGGACGGCGCGGAGGGCCTTCCCCAGCTGATGGGCGAGCTCAGGCGGACGGGGCCGGCGGGGTAGCGAGGCGGTGAGGGCCGCGGCGAACCGTGGTGGAGGGCGGCGGGGGCGGCAGCCACCCTGACGGGGCCGTCGTCCGTGAGCACCGAGTAGGCGGGCCCCGCCTGCGCAGCCTGCGCCTGCTGGTGGTGCAGGAGCGAGTACTCCTCGCTGAAGGCTCCTCCCTCCTCGTCGTCCGCGAGCAGGACGTGCGGGAGGCGCCCGACGCCGCCCGCCCCCGGGCCGCTCTGCAGCTTCTCGGCCGTACCCGGGTCCGCCAGGATGCTCCGGGCCATGTCCGACTTGGAGCGGGCCGCGAGGAGCGTCGACTGGCTCAGGCCGTAGCTGGCCAGCGCGGCGCCCCCGTGGCGCCGGGGGGCGGGTTCGGCCTCGGCAGGGGCGGCCTCCGCGGGGGCGTCCGCCAGCATGTCCTCGTCGATGGCGACGCAGCGCCGGTAGTAGTCCTGGTTGCGGCGGCGCGGCGGCGGCGGCGGGTGGCACGCGGCGCAGTGCGTGTCCCGCGTGGCGGTGCAGTCCCTGGCGGCGAACAGCCCCGACCCGCACCGCGAGCACAGCAAGCAGGCCGTGCGCGCCGAGTGATGCGCCGAGTAGGCCTCGCCCTCGCGGCACGGCGAGCAGGCCGTGTCCAGGCCGCCCCCGCAGCGCCTCTCCACTCCCCAGCCCGGCGGGCAGCGCGCGCACCGCGTGGGGCCGCGGGGGCCCGCCGTCGAGGGGTCCGTCAGCCACGAGGCGTGGCGGGCGCGCCGACCGGAGACCTGCAACAGACACAAAGGGTTGTTACACACACAGTTGCGCACCGCCTCCATCACACCACCCTCCCTTCCCCCGACTGCAGCGGGCAGGTGCAGATGGGGAGAGGCGCCCTAACTCAAGTTACGCCCGTCGAGGTCGTTGGCGCTGTTAGTTTTCTGTTATCACTCGCCCGTATCGGGTGTCCACGGCACGGCCCTCCGGCCCCAGCTCGAGCTGGTCCTGGTCCCCGCCCTTGTAGCCCCTGCAGTTGGCTCTACCTTGTTATTAGACCGCAACACATAATGGCCAGCGGGCGGGCGGGGGCGGGCTGCCCCGCCACAGGTAAGCGCGAGGTGTGGGGAAGAAGCGGTCGGAAGTGTCGCGCATCCGGCCTTGGAAACATTATATACACGGAAAAAAGAGATGCGCGTTTTTCTAAAAGGAGGAAACGAGTTCGGGGTGTGAACTTCCTCCTTCTTAACCCCCCCCCCCCTACCAGCCTTTTTTCTGGGGAAAGGGGGGAGGGTAAAACGGCAGTCCGTTGAAACATGAGTGTGCGGCGAGTATCTTTACCAACGGCCA